ACAGGTAGGAGGCCACGTGTTGGGGCAATTGTGATGTCCTAAGTGTGGGTTATGCCGATGGTCTGGTTGCACCACTTTGCAAATACACTAAAAACCGTTGGATTGTACATTTGAAATGGGTAAATTAAATGATTTGTAGATCGTATCTCAATCAAGGTGTTCAGAAAGAAAGAAAAGGAGCCGACATAGATGTAATAGGAGTTCCTGGGAAAAAAGCAAAGCTCTGGAACAGAGCAAATGCTAAAAATTGAAATCCAAGACAACTTGTGTGACATAAAAAGACTTGAAATTTCTATACTGAAAGGCCACACCACGTACTCAGGAAAGCTGACCCAGAACGACCGACACTGAGACGTATTTTTGTGAAATGATTGGGTCCTGGGTCCTGGAGTCACCTAAAGCCACCGCCGAGGGACCCCAAGTTTCTCTGGGCTTCTAACCCCCTGAGGGGCAGGGACCCCTCTGTGGCCATGCTCCTGGGAGACGGAGCGGGAGGCAGAAGGGCCTGGAAACAGTCCACACAAGGTGGGCTCGAGGGGGCAGGCCAGCAGGTGAGCAGACTCGTAAACGGCCTCGGCTTCCAGGACACAATGTCCTCTCTGTGCCGGGCGGGGCGTGCCGCTCGTGCACCAGGTGCCCCCAGACAGGAGACAGCCAGCGAGGAGACAAGGCCCGCCTCAAGCAGTTTCTGGGGGGCGTGGAGCTGCGTGCTGTGGGGTCAGTGATTTGGAACCTGGCCTCCCCAGGCAGGCTTAAGCCAGGGCCGTCAGCAATGGGGGCAGCATCTCCATAAGCAACGCCTATGTGTTGGGCTCCTGGAAGCTTCCAGAGGCTCTGGAAGGCTGCCCTCCATTCCATCTTAGGTGGGCAAGGCTGGGAAGGGGCGGCCAGGGACCCAGACCCCTGCCTCCCAGCTAGGGGCTTCCCTGCTAACCTGGTGGGGTGGCTGTGAAGGGCTGTGGGCCCTGCGCACCCTGTGTCCACTTGGTCCCTGATAACTGACCCTGTGCTGCTGGGCAAGGTCCTGCAGCTGGGTCTCTCCCAGGGCCTCTGGGATTTTCTGCCCCCAAAGGTAAGGGGGCTCTGGCCAGAGAAGGACGACTTGCCCCTGCCTGTCAGTCCTGAGGGCTTGGCTGGCCTCTCCCGGGTGCAGGCCCCAGCTGGCTTCCAGAGGCACTGCCCAGTGCCCCCAGGCAGCTGGCAGGAGTCAGCACCCAGGAGGGAGGGAGGAGGGAGGTGCCTGTGGGGGCATGCTGGGCACCCGGCCTGCCAGGCGCTCAGAAGGCCAGGGCTGTGGGACAGCTGGGAGAGGCCTCTGGGGGCAAGGAAGCCCCTCTTTGGGCTGGGGTGGGCTCCGGGGCTCTCAGGGAGTGGGGTCCCCTTGTAGTGTCTCTGCCCACCTGGCTCTGCTCACATTTCCAGGACGGGGTGCTCGCTCCTCCTGCCAGTGAGTCTGGCCTGTCACCCCCTCCCAGGCGCCAGGTAGGCCTCAGACTACTGCCAGCCCCCACTCCCAGACAGCACCCAGGGGCCCCGAGGCCCCAGGCCAGCTCTGGTTTCCATGCTGGGCCTTTTCCAAGGCATGTCTTCCATCCTGGTACAAAGGCTTCTTTGCCCGCTGCCCTCGGGCTGAAAGGAAGGGACTCGATCACTTTGCCCAGAGCATGCCCAGGGCCTGGAGGGGGTCCTCAGGGTGAGCCCGGTGACCCCTGCGCGAGGCCCCTAGCTCCCTGGCTGGCAGAGCTCCAGGTCGGGGCCTGGCGTGAAGGGTCCCGTCCTGTCAGATGGCCACTGACAGCCTCTGGCGTGGTGGTGATGGGCAGCCTGCTGTGCTTTCCTGCACAGTGTCCCGCACGGGAGGTGGGGAGGAGAAGCACCATCCTGAGCACCTACTGTGTGCTGGCACCACAAGGACCTGCTGGCCTTCCAATCAGAAGCCATCAAAACCCTCTCTCCACAGAGGGGGAGACAGACCCGTGGCGGCAAGGTGGTTCTGGGAGGAGCTGGGCTGTGGGGGTCGGATCTGCTGTGCCCCCGGGAGGCGGGCCCTCGGGCCCTCTGGGCTGGGGGCTTCTGGTGGCCCCATGGCTGCTGTGCAGGGTGGCTGGGGCCTCGCTCATGGGCTCCAGGACCCCCACCCCACCCTCCTCCTGACAGGCCTTGTGCCTGGGGTGTCTGCTGTCAGCTGGGTGGGAGCCATGGGGAGCCCGAGGGAACTCAGGACCCCCACGTGCCCTGGCAGAGGCTAGGATGGGGGGATTCTGGCTTGCAAGCCAGAGGGTCGGCCTCGACCCCACCAGCCACTGTTACCTGCAGGTGGGACAGGCCATCTGAGGCCAGGACACGGCCATGGCTTGGTCACAGCTCCCAGCGGCTGCACCAGGGCTCTGTCTGGGTGGCCACCAGGGGTGGGGACCCCTCCCCTGCTCTGGGCAGCCCAGTTGTTCCCTGAAGGGGCATGGGACGCCCTCCCCTGGAGCCTGGGGGCAGCCGCTCTGCGGAGGGCCTGAAGGTAGATCAGGTGTCCCCGCCCCCAGGCCGCCCCCAGGACCTTAGCCAGGTGGGGGTCCTAGCAGGGGCCCCCCCTCCCTTATGGGGGGAATCCACCTAGCTATGGGGCCCCTACATTTGGCCAGCGCTCCAGGCCATCGTGAGGTCCCCATTCTCCCAGACCCAGGGGCCCTGCTCGAGGGAGGGGTCAGTGAGAGCCGGGGGCTGGCCAGTGCCCGCAGCCAAGCCACTCCACCGGGAGATGGGGAGCCGGCGGCAGGGAGGAGCTGAGCCAGTCGCCAGGGCCCCAGCGGCCCCAGCCCCACCCCCAGCAGGTTGGGGGAGCCCCCCTGTCGCCGGTCCCCGCCAGGGCAGGTGCAGGGAGACCGTCTGCTGGCTCCGCAGCCGTTCGGGGGCGAGGCGCGCCCTCTGGTGGCGAGAGGCGGCGTCGCCGTCTTGTCTTAGACCATGGGTCGCCCCAAATCAGGGCGGGGGTGCAGGGTGGCGGTCTCCAAGCCCGAGACAGCCGGGAGGGCCTCCCCGGGCTGAGCGGGAGCGCTCAGCTTTGGGGAGCGAAGTTCAGCACCCTGACTTGCACAGGCGCCGCCAGCACCGGTGGCAGGTGGCTCTGCAAGTCCGCGCACCTCGACGGTCATTTTTGCTGAATCTGCGAGTTCTGGAACTGCTGTAACAGAATCCCTTTGGCCGCATGTACGTACTTGGGTGAACAGAGTCGCTCAGTGCTGACATCTGTAAAACCCAGCAAGGAGAAATAAATTCAATACTGAGGGCTGAATCTTTCAAAAAATAAGTAACATTCATCAGAGGGGGCGGGAGTTAAAAGGAGAACAGCTCATCCATTTCATTGAGAGGCATTTCCAATGAAATGTACTTTCTCCAACAACTTTTAAACAAAATGGGTAATGTAAATTACTTAAAGATAAATCTGTGATTTTGATTAGCTGTGAGCTAAAAATTGTAAACATGACTAAACCCAGCAGAAACATCTGAAGATGATCAAGGGCCTCCTGAAGTAGAGAACAAAAAGTATAAAAAGTGACATTGCAGTCTGTGTACATCTTTTAATTGCAGGAAAGTATGATGACTGATCAATGAGAGTCTTCTAAGCACAAAATATATCCCATTAGGGCAAAATTCTGTGGGCAGAGTGGCATGCTGATGCAGGAAAAGGGGGAAAGAATTATGCCCGTTAAAGAGCTGCCCTTTTAGAATTGATGACGGGGGTGGGGGTGGGGTGGTTAGATCACAATGATGTTTAGCTTTTGTTGTATACATTTAAAAGACTGATCTAACACTTATTTTCAAAATGTCAACATTAACTGTGCTTACATGCCACGACATGGGGGAATCCCAAACCCATTGTGCTGAGCAAGACACCTACACAAGAGAACACCTTTGGCATCATCCCTCAGATGTGGAGTTCTGGAACAGGCAGACCCAGCCTGCGGTGGCCGGAAGTCCCATCAGCGGTATGCCTTTGTTAGAAGTCATGGACAGGCAGCTCGGATGGCCTGGCCCTTCCCCACCCTCTACCCCCCAGCCCCAGCCTCCACTAACCTACTTCCCGTCTCTATAGATCCCCTATTCTGGGCATCTCATATGAATGGGATCTACAGGAGGCAGTCCTCGGACTGGCATCTTTCACTTAGCATCTGTGCTGTGAGTATCCATGCTTCATTCCCTCTTATGGCTGAATATTCCCTGTATGTGCATTTTTCCTTGAAAGGAAAAAGATTGAACTTTGGTTAGGTGATGACCTGTCTCCTGGAGAGCTGGAGCGGAGTGGGCACATCTCTGCAACTTATTTTGAAATGTGTTAAAATAAGGCCGCTGAGGGATGGGGAGAGGTGGGGAGGGGTAAAGATCGGAGGCGCCTCATGGCTGGTGGACTCCGAGGGGGGTACATGGCACCGCCATGCAATTTTTTCAACTTCGCTTTGTGTTTGACATTTTCCCTAGTAAAAGGGCGAGGAAACGTCTGAAGAGTGCTGGGGAAAGAATCGCAGGCTTTGGATGCCGGGCGGTCCTGCTGCCGGGCCCCCACGGCTGCTCCCCACGTCCCTGACCTCAAGGAGTGGCAGCCCCAGGCCCCTGCCTGCGCGCCGGTGGGCAGGAGGGGGTGAACTGGACTGAGGAGGCCTGGGGCTGACTCCCAGAGTAAAGCAGATCCGTCCCTTCTGTAGTTTAGCAGAAGTCATGTGTTCCTTGCAAAAGCCTGGATGATACAGTGATAAGTGTGTCACTGGACTGTCACTCAAAGGGGGTGGAGCACAGAGAGGGAGGAACCAGGACCTCCTTGTGAGTCTCGGTTTCTTTCTACTTCCAGCTTCTTAGAGGGAAGCATAGTTTTACCTCTTCTTGCTTTCTGTCCGAACCGCCTAAGGCTATCCATTGTCCTCAGAGGGCCACTTTGGCTACACCCCCAGGTTTTGACATGTAGTGTTTTCATTTACTCGATCACTTTGCCCAGAGCATGCCCAGGGCCTGGAGGGGGTCCTCAGGGTGAGCCCGGTGACCCCTGCGCGAGGCCCCTAGCTCCCTGGCTGGCAGAGCTCCAGGTCGGGGCCTGGCGTGAAGGGTCCCGTCCTGTCAGATGGCCACTGACAGCCTCTGGCGTGGTGGTGATGGGCAGCCTGCTGTGCTTTCCTGCACAGTGTCCCGCACGGGAGGTGGGGAGGAGAAGCACCATCCTGAGCACCTACTGTGTGCTGGCACCACAAGGACCTGCTGGCCTTCCAATCAGAAGCCATCAAAACCCTCTCTCCACAGAGGGGGAGACAGACCCGTGGCGGCAAGGTGGTTCTGGGAGGAGCTGGGCTGTGGGGGTCGGATCTGCTGTGCCCCCGGGAGGCGGGCCCTCGGGCCCTCTGGGCTGGGGGCTTCTGGTGGCCCCATGGCTGCTGTGCAGGGTGGCTGGGGCCTCGCTCATGGGCTCCAGGACCCCCACCCCACCCTCCTCCTGACAGGCCTTGTGCCTGGGGTGTCTGCTGTCAGCTGGGTGGGAGCCATGGGGAGCCCGAGGGAACTCAGGACCCCCACGTGCCCTGGCAGAGGCTAGGATGGGGGGATTCTGGCTTGCAAGCCAGAGGGTCGGCCTCGACCCCACCAGCCACTGTTACCTGCAGGTGGGACAGGCCATCTGAGGCCAGGACACGGCCATGGCTTGGTCACAGCTCCCAGCGGCTGCACCAGGGCTCTGTCTGGGTGGCCACCAGGGGTGGGGACCCCTCCCCTGCTCTGGGCAGCCCAGTTGTTCCCTGAAGGGGCATGGGACGCCCTCCCCTGGAGCCTGGGGGCAGCCGCTCTGCGGAGGGCCTGAAGGTAGATCAGGTGTCCCCGCCCCCAGGCCGCCCCCAGGACCTTAGCCAGGTGGGGGTCCTAGCAGGGGCCCCCCCTCCCTTATGGGGGGAATCCACCTAGCTATGGGGCCCCTACATTTGGCCAGCGCTCCAGGCCATCGTGAGGTCCCCATTCTCCCAGACCCAGGGGCCCTGCTCGAGGGAGGGGTCAGTGAGAGCCGGGGGCTGGCCAGTGCCCGCAGCCAAGCCACTCCACCGGGAGATGGGGAGCCGGCGGCAGGGAGGAGCTGAGCCAGTCGCCAGGGCCCCAGCGGCCCCAGCCCCACCCCCAGCAGGTTGGGGGAGCCCCCCTGTCGCCGGTCCCCGCCAGGGCAGGTGCAGGGAGACCGTCTGCTGGCTCCGCAGCCGTTCGGGGGCGAGGCGCGCCCTCTGGTGGCGAGAGGCGGCGTCGCCGTCTTGTCTTAGACCATGGGTCGCCCCAAATCAGGGCGGGGGTGCAGGGTGGCGGTCTCCAAGCCCGAGACAGCCGGGAGGGCCTCCCCGGGCTGAGCGGGAGCGCTCAGCTTTGGGGAGCGAAGTTCAGCACCCTGACTTGCACAGGCGCCGCCAGCACCGGTGGCAGGTGGCTCTGCAAGTCCGCGCACCTCGACGGTCATTTTTGCTGAATCTGCGAGTTCTGGAACTGCTGTAACAGAATCCCTTTGGCCGCATGTACGTACTTGGGTGAACAGAGTCGCTCAGTGCTGACATCTGTAAAACCCAGCAAGGAGAAATAAATTCAATACTGAGGGCTGAATCTTTCAAAAAATAAGTAACATTCATCAGAGGGGGCGGGAGTTAAAAGGAGAACAGCTCATCCATTTCATTGAGAGGCATTTCCAATGAAATGTACTTTCTCCAACAACTTTTAAACAAAATGGGTAATGTAAATTACTTAAAGATAAATCTGTGATTTTGATTAGCTGTGAGCTAAAAATTGTAAACATGACTAAACCCAGCAGAAACATCTGAAGATGATCAAGGGCCTCCTGAAGTAGAGAACAAAAAGTATAAAAAGTGACATTGCAGTCTGTGTACATCTTTTAATTGCAGGAAAGTATGATGACTGATCAATGAGAGTCTTCTAAGCACAAAATATATCCCATTAGGGCAAAATTCTGTGGGCAGAGTGGCATGCTGATGCAGGAAAAGGGGGAAAGAATTATGCCCGTTAAAGAGCTGCCCTTTTAGAATTGATGACGGGGGTGGGGGTGGGGTGGTTAGATCACAATGATGTTTAGCTTTTGTTGTATACATTTAAAAGACTGATCTAACACTTATTTTCAAAATGTCAACATTAACTGTGCTTACATGCCACGACATGGGGGAATCCCAAACCCATTGTGCTGAGCAAGACACCTACACAAGAGAACACCTTTGGCATCATCCCTCAGATGTGGAGTTCTGGAACAGGCAGACCCAGCCTGCGGTGGCCGGAAGTCCCATCAGCGGTATGCCTTTGTTAGAAGTCATGGACAGGCAGCTCGGATGGCCTGGCCCTTCCCCACCCTCTACCCCCCAGCCCCAGCCTCCACTAACCTACTTCCCGTCTCTATAGATCCCCTATTCTGGGCATCTCATATGAATGGGATCTACAGGAGGCAGTCCTCGGACTGGCATCTTTCACTTAGCATCTGTGCTGTGAGTATCCATGCTTCATTCCCTCTTATGGCTGAATATTCCCTGTATGTGCATTTTTCCTTGAAAGGAAAAAGATTGAACTTTGGTTAGGTGATGACCTGTCTCCTGGAGAGCTGGAGCGGAGTGGGCACATCTCTGCAACTTATTTTGAAATGTGTTAAAATAAGGCCGCTGAGGGATGGGGAGAGGTGGGGAGGGGTAAAGATCGGAGGCGCCTCATGGCTGGTGGACTCCGAGGGGGGTACATGGCACCGCCATGCAATTTTTTCAACTTCGCTTTGTGTTTGACATTTTCCCTAGTAAAAGGGCGAGGAAACGTCTGAAGAGTGCTGGGGAAAGAATCGCAGGCTTTGGATGCCGGGCGGTCCTGCTGCCGGGCCCCCACGGCTGCTCCCCACGTCCCTGACCTCAAGGAGTGGCAGCCCCAGGCCCCTGCCTGCGCGCCGGTGGGCAGGAGGGGGTGAACTGGACTGAGGAGGCCTGGGGCTGACTCCCAGAGTAAAGCAGATCCGTCCCTTCTGTAGTTTAGCAGAAGTCATGTGTTCCTTGCAAAAGCCTGGATGATACAGTGATAAGTGTGTCACTGGACTGTCACTCAAAGGGGGTGGAGCACAGAGAGGGAGGAACCAGGACCTCCTTGTGAGTCTCGGTTTCTTTCTACTTCCAGCTTCTTAGAGGGAAGCATAGTTTTACCTCTTCTTGCTTTCTGTCCGAACCGCCTAAGGCTATCCATTGTCCTCAGAGGGCCACTTTGGCTACACCCCCAGGTTTTGACATGTAGTGTTTTCATTACCAAATTTATCAAGAGTCTAATTTGATGTTTCCTTTCTTCTTCAACTCAGAGGGAGTGTGTCCTGCCTTCCACCAGCGATGGCAGCTGAGGTTTACCATGCTGTGTGCGTCACCTGCTTCATCCCGTTTAACCCTCAGGGCAGAGGTGTGCAGGGGGAAGCGTGGCCCTCCTTCCACACAGAAGTGGCATGTAAGTGGCTGAGCGGGTTGGATGTACTCTGCTACACCAAGCTGATGAGAGGTTAGACTTTAAAAAATATTATCCGTTGCTAATTCCATTTTCTGGGTGCATGTTCAGGGGACACTGCTGACAGGATTTCCCCAGGAACCTATTGAGATTTTCCGGGAGTTCTCACACATGCTCTTTGTTGATGGGGAAGTCTGTATACCTATTAATTTATAGTGGTTGATGTGTTCTACTAATAGTCCCTTTTCCTTCACTCATTTTTGATCTGGCAATTGCTGTGCAAGGTGTGTTGGGCTCCTGCTGTAACTGTCATTTTGGCAAATTCTCCCTGGTTTTCTAGCAGCTTTTCCACATCTGTTTTGGGGCAAAAGGTTAATAACTGTGATGTGGCCTCAGTGGACATGTCAGCCTGCTGGGGGCTCTTCCGTGGTCTCTGCCAAGCCTAGCATCTAATTTCTAAATTTAATTTCCTACAAGACTCTGTGTGGGATTTTGCTCCCTAAATATTTTAGAAAACAAAACCAATCATCCCAGACTTACCCCAGTAAATAGAATTCTGAAGCTAAAAAGCACAGGTGATGCCTGAGTGGGGTTGATGGGGCCTCTCGCTCCAAGATCCGCTGTCCTCTGCCCCCACCCCCAACTGGAGCTCCTGGGATGGTGTAAATAATCAGCAGACACTTCTTCTTGGGCTCAGTCCCCAAATCCCACGGGTGCTGGGACTTCTGATGCTGGGACTTTTCAGTGTTTGCTGCTGCCAAGCCCATGGTTCGTGGTTCTCCACTGAGATGTGCAGCAGCTGTGGGGGTGACCCCTGGGAGGGGCGGCTGTGGGCTGGGGCCGGGGAGCCTCACATACCAGGCAGTGTTTGTTGTCGGCGGCTCTGATCTTGTGATGGGGCAGCAATCAGCCACAGCTGTGATGGGCAGCTTGGCCTCCTCATGGTTCAGGGAGGTCACAGGTATGGGGACAAGACATGAGGGACTCAGAACCTGGTGCACTGACCCCAGCTGGTGTCCTGGGATGGCAGGCTGGCTACCTGCGATGGTCAGTTTTGCATGTGAACTTGGCTGGGGCACAGGGTGCCAAGATATTTGGTCAAATAGTCTGTGGGGTGATTCTGTGGGTGAGATTAACATCGGAACTGGTGGACTGAGTAAAGTAGGGTGCTCTCCCAACGTGGGTGGGCCGCGCCCCGTCAGCTGAAGGACTGGCTGGACCCCAAAGGCTGAGGAAGAGGGAATGCTCTCTGCCTGACTGTCCTGACCCGGGACGTAGCGGTCTCCTGCCTTTGGACTCGGACTGAGGCTGGGACTTATGCTGTGAGCTCTCCTTTCGCTCAGGGCTCCAGACTGAGACTCACAGTATCAGCTCTCCTGGGTCTGCAGCTTACTGGCTGCAGAACCTGGGGCTTGGCAGCCTCCGTAACTGCATGAAGCAGTTCCTTACGATAAATCTCTTTACAAACACACACACAGGCCTTATCGGTATTGGTTCTGTTTCTCTGGAAAGCCCTCCAGAGAAGTGCTTATGTTCTACTCACATACACTGCTACTACGTATAAGAATTCCTTTTCTGTGCCACTTATGTTCTGGACTGCTGGCCCCTCAGCTTGCCTTTATGTGCTGGGATGCTCGGCCTGGCTCCCCTGCACGCAGACCCCTCTGTCTGCAGAGGCCCCTTGCGGGCGGTCTTGTGTGCATGTGCCCCACTGGTGCATGTGCAGGGCATTGCTGCTCAGTTAGAAGGGTTGCGCAGGGTCTCTTGTTTTCTCAGAGGCCAACCTTCTCTGGGGCCTGCAAACAAGGTGGATCACACCTTTAGGTAGAACACCCTCTTTCTTCCTTTTAATACTTTTGCCTCAAAATCTACTTGGATATTAATATTGCCACTGGTTCTGCCTTAAAAAAATTCACCTGATGTATCTTTGTTCATCCTTATGTATTGAACGTGTGTCATTTGTTTTTTTAAACAAATCTCTTGTGAACAGCATGGTCGTATTTAAAAAAAATCCAAGTTGAGAGCCTTTGTCTTTTACTGGGAAAATTTAGCACATTGTGCTGACTATAAATTTGGCCTTAAACTGCCACCTAATTCTATGACTGTGGGTCATTTTGCCTTCTTGTTACAGACCCCCTTCAGAGGCGGTCGATATGTGCCACCCCAACCTCGTAACTATCTTTTGGGTGAAGGTTATTTTCCCCAGGTGCAAAGAAAAGAAATGAAATAACTTTCCAACATCACAGAGTGGGTGACTAGTGGAGTTGGGATAGACAACAGGTCAGTGTGGAGGTTTCATATTCCATTTATATGTTATTCATGGTCAGCCTTAAATGCTTAAAAAAAAATCAAAGCATGTTTTCCATCCACATTACCTATTAACTACGTCTGTTTCCTCCCTTTGAAGGTGATGAGACATCCAGAGGCCATTCATCCTTCGGCTTTTCGTCCCCATCTCTTGTTTGGCTGACTCCTTATGGAATTTTAGTTTCTAGCTGTTGTTAATACTTCTTATCTGAAATTTCTACTATTTAAGGGATCCTTTCTTAATAATCACATTAAACTGTGTGACAGCATTACTGATAGTTAAGAATAATTATGTTTCCTGATTTATTTGGTCATCATGATTTCTTGATTTTCATTTTTTCCTTTCTTGAATTAAATTTTTTATTTTGCCACCATATATACTTGAATGCTTTTGTTTTTCTAGACAAAGTTCACTTTATTAGTCCTCATGTATCTGACAGAACTGTTTCCTCTTCACTTTTGAGTGATAATTGTCCTGGGGGTAGTGTTCCAGGATCCCAGTGTTTTCCTCTGAACGATATTTTCCTTTGAAAGATGGTGCTCCATCGTCTATTAGGCCAGTGAGTCGCTGTGACGTGCCTCACTTCACGGGAAATCTGTTTATTCACAGTGGCAGCTTTTCTTTTTCGACTCTGGAGTTCAGAGATTTCACCTGCTTGTGATGGTTTTGTGTCCTTTTATTATTATTCCTGCCTGGTGTTCAGTGGCCATTATGACCAGGCATTCAGTCAGCCAAGCAGGACCTCAAGTCTTTGTTCAGATCAGAAAAATATTCTTTATTATTTTTAATTAAAAAATTTTTATTGTTAAAATTTAAAATGCATTTTATTTCTAAATAAAAATTGCATATATTTAAAGTATGGAACATGATGACTAGACAAGTACATACATAATACAATGATCAATACACTCAGGCTAATTAACATATCATCTGCTCACAGAGTTACCATTTATGTGCGTGCGTGTGTGTGTGTGTGTGTGTGTGTGTGCACTGACAGCGCTCTCACACATAACCAGCGCTAGTACAGTGTTGCTAACCACAGTCACCATGCTGGACCTTGATCTTCAGGCTTATTTATCCTACAAGGAAAATTTTCCTTAAAAGTATATATATTTTCCCCCATTTTTCCTATTCCCCATGTTATCTTCCTAGGGCATCTATTATACAGTTATTGGATCTTCTCTTACTGTATCTTATCTTACCTTTTTCTAGAATGGTTTGTTCAGCTGCAAGTAACAAGCTCCAAGTCTAAGTGGTTTAAACATGGACGTTCACCACATACTCATCAAGCAGCTGAAGGACGGTGGTCGTCGGAGGGGTTTGCTGGCTGGACAACCTCTGCTGGGACTGAGGCTTTTGTATCGCAGTGGCCTCTGCGAGCTTTCCTCCTGTCGGCTGCAGTGTCCCGTTACCTTACGTCTCTCTCACCTTGTGTACCCGTATCCTGTGCCCGTTGCCTTCCTATTCTCTCCCTGCTATTGTCAGGAAGGAAGACAGGCATGAGTGAGTGGGGTGAGAACTGAGCCAGCAGAGCCCAGTAAAGGGGGTGTGAAGATCTGACCAGACAGAGGGCCGGAAAGGAGCCACAGAGTTAGTGAGTTAATGATTAGTTGAAGTTTCAAAGGCCTGCAGTGACTTGGAATGTCTGGATATTCTCCAGATGAAAGACAAGTCCCCAGATAAAGAAAAGTCAATCAGGGGCTTCTCTGCCCTCCTCATGAGGGTCATGCCATCGTAAACCTACTCAGCCTGTGAAAAAGACGTGCTCAATGCCCAGCTTATCCTTTAGCTTAATGTATACACTGTTCTTCCAGCCCCTTAATCAATTAAGTATCTTTGCAGCCAGGACAGGAGACAGACCTCCGAAGTGTAAATGAACCTATGTGGATAAAGAATGCCAAGATCCAGGCCAACACACTCACTTAAATAACCCCATTTTTAAGACAAAACTTCAAAGGAATTATGAATCACCTGTATATATCATGCTTTATGCTGACCGCTACCCAAAAGGCCCTATGAAACCCCAAACCCCAAGCCTTTAAGCGTGTCTCCTCTCTGAGGTTGCCCGTGCTGTCCTTTCTTTGAGGGTGTCCCTCTGTCCTACTCTGGATAAGTAGGGAGGGGCTGCTGAGAGCTCTGACCTGGGCTGGCAAGTTTCTAGCGCCTGGGTGCTCGGAACAGGACTGCGGCTGGGCACTCATGCTCCTTAGCAGCCTGCCTGAAAAATCCCCTTTCTTTGCTTTGGGAAGTTCTCAGAACGTAATCTCACTCCGTCCAGCGCTCCGTGGCTCCCCCCAAATCCTGGGGTGGTGGGGGCCTCGTCCCCAGCGGTGCAGATCCCAGCGGACTCCGGGTGGGCCTGGCCTCAGGCGTGGGCAGGGGATGTGCTCAGAGCCGCGCAGGAGTTGAACGAGCTTCCCCTCCCCCGTTTGCTCTCCGCGCCAGCAGGGCTGCTCCGCTTCCCTGCTGTTCCCGCTTTAATGAATTCCTTTCTCACCTTTCACTGATTCCCTGCGTCTCCGAACTGAGTTTCTTCCCAACGCTGAGTTGACCTGTCCGTACGTGACCCCGGGGCCGCAGGTGTCGGGCTTCCGGCTGTGTGCGTGTACTTGTGCGGGAAGGACTGGATCGCTCAGGCTTCATCACGGATCCTACAACCAGCGCACGGCGGGCGGGCTGCGGCGCGGGGCCTTCCGGCCCCCCCAGAACCACCGCCCGGCGCTTGGGGGCGCACAGGGCTCGGGCCGCAGCGGCAGGGGCGCCCGGCAGACCCGCCGCACCCGCAACCCCCCGCGGCCTCGCTGCCGCCCGGCTGCACTGGCCACGCGAGGGCGCCCGAGCTCCGCCCGCGGGCGTCCAGGCCGAGAACCCGCCCTCCCCGGCGCTTCCGCGGGCTGCGTCCCCGCCCCTGGTCCCGGCAGCAGCCCCCTCGCCGCGGGAAGAGCGCAGGCCTGGGGGGCTTCCTGGGGCCGCAGCCGCGTGGGGCCTGGGCACGAGGCCGGGAAGCGGCTCCCGCAGACAACCGTGGGCCCGAGCTCACCCGCGCGCGGGGTCCCCGGTCCCGGGGCGGGTTCCGCCGGGCTCCTCCCCTCCGCAGACGGGACGGAGGGACCCGGTGAGGGCCGGATGCTGCGCGAGCCGCGGTATTGATGCGGGCCTGGGGTGGGGGGCAAGGGGCGAGCCGCACTGCCTGTTAATATTTATTAAAGCCACAGCCCCGTCATTCAAGAGCCTCATAAATATTAATTTCCGATTAAACATTTATATGAAGGAGATTGCTTCTCCTCCCGTCCGAGAACCTGTTCGAAGCTGGGGCTGGGGCGGCCGTGGGGGGAAGCGGGGTTCCCACGGGCCTGGGCGGCTGGACGCAGTCCCCCGCGCTGCGGTGGAGGCGGTGCCCAAGCCCCGCAGAGTGGCCCCTGCTGACCAGACACGGCACCCTCGGGGTCCCCGTGGTCAGCCCTCCTGGGTCTGGCTGCAAAGTCAGTGTTTTGAGCTGTCCACCTGTGGCGCCGACCAGTCACGTCCACTGTAGTAGGATCTGCTCGGCAGAGCCGGGGGGTGAGGGCCTGGCAGGAGAACGCAGGCAGCAGATGCCTGGCCTGTGCGGGGGCTGCCCCTCCGGCCCAGGCTGGGATGCCCTCCCCTGGGTTCGCCGGGGCTCCCGGGGCCAGCGGCAGGGGGCTCCGGGCTGCCGCCAGTTGTCGCCCACTCCGCAGCATCTTTCCTGCTGGTTTTGCGTGTCAGCCGGGAGGAGTGTCCCCGATGCCCCTGCTGGCCAGCCTGTCCACACGGCGTCCTCCTCTCTGTTCCCTCTGGGCCCCTGCGCAGAGCTCCCACCTGCCATCTGGGAGAGGTGTGGACCTGGTACAAAGGCGGGTGCACGTGTGTGTTGGGGGGCACTTTGTGCTTCACTTATGGAGGGATCTGGCACCGGACTGCATAGACCCTTACACCCTGGGGTCCTGCTACGTCCTGCCCTTTATGAATCTTGGTGCTGAGGACCCTTCTGGATGGCTGAGGATTTCTGGGATCCCCGAGCCACGGGGCGCTTGCTTTCCGAAACGGCGCTGCCACGTGACCCCCATCCTGCACAGAGGCCCCCCTCCCATGTCCTCGCAGGCCCCACACGGGCTGACTCCCAGCGGCCCTGGCCTCCGGGTGTGCCCCTCTGATGACCGGTGAGTGTGGGGCCCTCCTCCGAGGGCGCCGTCCCCACGGCCTCTCCTGCACACCAACCTTCAGCCCCTCGGGGTCCAGCTGACATGGGGCAGGGGTGGGTTCCAGCTTTCTCCCCAGCGGGGAAGCCGTTCGCCCCAGTCCTGGGTCCCCCTTGACGTGCAGGTCACCTTTACCTTAGTGGGTCCTGTGTCCCCAGTCCTGTTCAGGGGTTCAGCTTGCTCCTTGGTCCCCGGGGCTGCTGTGGCCTTCCGCCCTGTCCTCGGTCTGGCGCCGCGAGCCCCTCGTCTTTCCCCCGTTTTCCGTCTGCGTCTCTACTCTCCGTCCACGGCGGGTTTGTAACGGGGCCAAGAGCTTCTCTGAAGAGCCCGCTGGAACTGCGCTCAGCGAGACGTCGACCCAGACCGACCTGGGCGGAGCTGGTGGCCGCCGTGGGGTCCCGCGTGCGGCTGCGGCCCTCCGCCCCTCCCCGGGGCTGCGGCCTCGGTGCAGTTCCAAAATGCTCTCCCCGCAGCGGCCGCTCTTGGGTCATCTAGTCCCCGGCCCCGCTGCGGCCTCCGCTGCCCTCTGAACGCGTGTTCCTTTCTGGCGGCCTGTGGCTGGCCTGGCGTCCTGTTGCGATGTCTGGACGCTCCTCCTGTGATTCGGGAGTCTGGGGGGCTGGCGACTCTGCTCTGTCACCCGGGACGCCGGCCCGAGCCGGGCTGCCCCCCCCCATCTTCACTCCTGGTTTTCGTGTCTTGCATGTCCCCCGACTTCCAGGAACGACAGGGATAAGGACTCTCTTGACTTACTTCTGCTCTCGAAGTCTGATGTTTCTGAGGGTGTTTGGGAAATAGATTTTTTATCAAATTAACAATGTTCTCTTGTATTTAAGCCCTCTGAGAGTTCTTAGAAATTACAAATAGGTGTTGAACGTTATGCACTCCTCTCTGTGTCTGCTGAGATGACTCGTGTGGGCTTTTGGTGTGTGTGTTAGTCCTTTCAGGGGGTTTCGTGAGGTCACACAAACGTCCCGACCCAGTGACAGGCTGTGTCACCCCCAGGATGCACACTCTGCTGGAGTGTTATTATTATTTTAACTACATTTCATCGAATGCCATTGATCATAAGGTGTGCCGTTACTTTATGTACCTCTGAGAAAGATAAATGGTGCCTATAAAACGGTGGCACAGACTTCCTCACGTAGGAGCTGTGCTTTATATTTGTCTGAGAGCTCCTTCAGACTTATTTAATCATGGGATTTTATCACAGCTCATTCTATGCATTTGAAAACAGGAAAATAAAAACAAAATAGATGCGTTCAGGAGCAGCCTCACTCTCAGAAAGGCACAGGCCCTGTTGAGGGGATGCTGGCCCCCCGATTGAGCCCCATCCCTGCCCCTCCACAGAGGTGGCTGGTGCTCTGTGCAGAGCCTCTGGGCCTACTGGTCTACCTGGTGGCCGGCCTCTCTTGAGCCACCTCATCAGCATAAGCTCAGGTGTAATCGAGGGCACCTGAATAATGGACATTCCTGTCATACAGGGGCTCTGCCAGCACCCCAGACAGCCAGCAGACCAGCCATGAT